GTAAGGGTTCCAAGGCCGCTCGTGACCGTGAGCACGGCTGATATTCCAGTTTACACTCTACAGAGGTTGTACACTTTCACTGTGAGTCGTGATTTACCCTTTCGCCCGAGGTGATCAGCCTCTTGACCCACTACCAAGGAAGGTCGGTAGGGTTCACTATGAAGCCTTTCAAAGGTTCGTCTAACAAGTTAGGGCCATTAGATTCACTCGGCAAACAGATATAGGAACCCCCCTGTCGAATGGCATAATTCCATCACGGCTATACACATAAGAGTAGAGGCTGTCCTATATCCGATTTGGCAAGCCATTCTTACGCCAATAAAGGTAACCTCTAACAAGCTAGAAAAGGTCCTCATACTGAGCTAAAGCCAGAGCCATGTAGCCCTCACAGCTGTACTGTAAGTCCCGGATGATCACTTACAGATAAGTCCTTAGGGAGAGGAATCTAGAGCACCATAAAATAGCCCAATGCTCTAGCCCCCTTGTTCCATGTTGCTAAAAAGCATCTTTTAATGTTTATTGCATATACCATTAGTGAAGTTACAAGATCATGGTCTTTAATTGAGCGCTAGTAAAGCTACCCAATGCAATACCCCAAAGGTATCAAGGTACAAGTACAAAAGACTTGGATATCCTTAGTGGCAGTCAAGATAGACACATGCAGTATGAATTAAGTGATTAAAAGTGAATAGGACAACAAGGATGATCCCATGCTATACTTGCCTTAAACACCGATCCTTCGGTAAGCTTTAATCTTCAACGCTTTTCTTCTTCTTAATCACCACATATATCTCACCGACTGGACGAAATCATAAAGCACCACACAAGCATCCATACAATCATACACGAAGCAAACAATAGATCTAAATTAGAATAGTACACCAAACATAAAATCAAGATGAAAAGTTTATAAAATGAATCTACGGCCCGCTACGAACACACAGACACGAAAAGCACGTTAATCGGAGCTTCTGTTGAAAAGATACATCTACCGATGGATTTGCTTTATATGTGGAAAAGAAAACTATAGGCTTCATTTATTTTAACTATATAAAAGCTTATATAAATTGAATAAGTCAAATTTAGATTTGAATTATAAAACTAAAGTAAAACAAATCATATTTTATTTATAAAATTCAGTTGCATAATTATAAATCAAGATATGATTTAAACCATGAAATTCCAGAAATAGTGATATGGTAACCACTGTTACTAACGCGTATATCTTGTTGCAATGAATCTAACACAACTTGAATGGGTTAAAACGGAGTTAAAACATAGAAGACATGAAATAAATAAGATTTCCTTTATTAAAATAATAGATTAAATCTAATCACGAATTTTAAAAGTTGAAAACACATCTAACAGTAGTATGAACATGTAGGTTATGAAATTACGAACCTAGCGCAATTTGAACGGATCAAATCGGAGTTAAAACGGACAAGTTATGGCTAAAACAAAATCAGTGGCAAAACTGCAAATAGCTGAAAACGTATTTTTGAAGTCAATTAAACGAAATACGCTTTTAAAAGAGGAAAACAGAAACTTGGGAATACGCAAAGGACGGCGGGTTCTATTTTTGAAAAAGCGAGGGGCTCTTTAGCTAAACTTCCATGCGAAGGGGTAAGTTCTTTTCCTAGCCCTTGATCTAGATTTGGACAGCCAAGATTGCGCGGGTGGAGGAAGACGGCCGAAACAGAGGAAGTCGCGGCGGCACGCCATTGACGACGATGAGAAGCTTCGCGGCGAGCTCGGTTTGGGCAAGTCCGAGCCCCATGAGACATGGGGAAGGCACTGGGAGCAAGAGGGAGGTGCGGCGGACCCATCTGGGCGACCAATTGCAATTAAAAAGGAGCATAGGCCTACGGGCAGCAAGCTATGGGCGGCGGAGCATCTGGGCTTGAGGAAGACCAAGACAAGACGAGAGAGAGGGGGAATGGGGTGGTGGTACAGGTTATAGAGCTCGGCTAGAAGCTCTAGGACGTGCTTACCGTGATGGAGGGATGACTATTTTGGCTCGGCGACTCCGGCTTCTTCACGACGGACTTTGACGGCAGGTGGCGGCGCACGGAAGGCGTGGCGGCTGTCTTTGGGGCTCGGTGGGGAACTAAACAGAGCGGATGCTCTCTATTTAAGGACCGTCTAGCTTGACAGGCACGGCAACGGATGGAGTCGTGGGCGAGGGCGGACACGGCCTCTGTGCGAGTCCGTTTCGACGACGAGCAGATGTAGAAGGTAGAGCTGACGAGCGGGCCTAGCGCGTCAGCCACAGAGGAGGCACATGACCGCAACACGAGAGGGAGGTGGGTGCACGGCGGCTTCAGCTGGGCCGGCCCACGAGCGGAGAGGGGCGGGTGACGCTGGGCCGCCGGGAGGAAGAGATGGACCGACGGCCAGCTAGGCCAGCGGAAGGCAGAAAGCAGAGCTGGGCCCACGGAAGAAAACGGGCCACGGAAAAATGGAGGAGGAGGAGATGTGGGCCACGGAAAAATGGAAGAAAACGGGCCACGGAAACGCGGGGGGAGAAAGAAATAGAAAAGGATGGCCTTCGGGCCAGAGTGAGGGAGGAGAGTTTTCCCAATTTTCAATTTTTTCTATTTTGTTTTCCAAAACCAATCTCAAATCTAAGTTAAATCAAATTCAAATAGAGTTTCGAATTTACTTTTCAACTCAAATAAAAATGGAAAATTTTAGTAGGCTTTCAAAAATAAAGTTTATAACTTTTTAAATTGTTTTATTTTCAAATTTTATTTCCCATTCTTTTCTTTCGTTCATAGCCATTTTTAATTCCTTTTCAAAAGCAATTCAAACCATTTTAAATTTTAAATCAAAACCACTCAACCAAATAAATCAAATGCATCGACATGTATGCAAATCCATGTTTCTAAACCTTATATTAAATTTTAATTTCATGAAAATTTTTATTTCCTATTTTTAATGAACACAAAATTCCAAATTTAATAATTTTAGCTCTATTTCCAAAAAAGAGGCAAATTTTAGGGTGTTACAACCTGTGAGGGCTACATTGCTCTTGCTTTAGCTTAGTAAGAGGACTTTTTTAGCATGTTAGAGGTTATCTCTATTGGCGTAAGAATGGCTTGCCGAATCGGGTATAGGACAGTCTCTACTCTTATGTATATAGCCTGATGGAATTATGCCATTCGACCGAGGGTTTCTATATCTATTTGCCGAATGAATCTAATGGCCCTAACTTGTTAGATTTAACCTTTGAAAGGCTTCATGGTGAACCCTGCCAACCTTCCTTGTTAGTGGGTCAAGAGATTAGCTACCTCGAGCGAAAGGGTAAATCACGACTCAGAGTGAAAATGTACAACCTCTACAGAGTGTAAAACTGGTATATCAGTCGTGCTCACGGCCACGAGCGGCCTTGGAACATTTACGGAATAGATGATCACTAATGGTTAATGATGATGAACACAGATGATACTGATGATAGAGATGCTCACTAATGATTACTGTTTATGCTATTCATTATTCATGTTTACCTGATCATGTGTTTATATGAGCTTGTGATAAACTTGTTGTTACTTCTATGCTAAAATTGTGATAATTAAAAGCTAATCGCAGTTAAACCAGTGTCAGCCATTTGAGCCTCATGAACCCCATGTTATATTTGTTGAGTACGACATATATTTACGCTTGCTTTACTTTTTAAATCTTTTAAAAAATCCCGGTTGAGTATTGCTCGAGTTTGGAGGAATTAGGCTTGTGATCAACCAGTCAGTTGTCCCAGTGGATTTGGAGTCTTCGCCTGAAGATCGGAGTTGTCTTTCCGTTGTCTATACTATGAGGTTATAATCTTTATACTAATACGCTATGTATTTAAGCATTGTCTTTTGATATTACCCTTATTTGTAGCTATATGTGAGATTTGACTTTCAGGACTCACATATGGCGTGTATCTGGTTTTATTCTTAAAACTGGGTGCTACACCGACGGGCTCAGGTTGCACGGACAACTATAGCTTCGGCGCGTTCACTTCGCTCTACATCGAGTCCCTCTACAGGCACAGGCCGCACGAGGCTACCGCGTTGGCCGACGAGCGCTGTTCGGAAAAAATCCAAACAGAAAAAAAGCTAAAAAACTAAAATGGGACTGGATGTGAGGAGCCATATTTAGTTGGGCTTGATTATAAATTAATAAATTTCAAGGCCCATAGTGAAGTTTGTGCAATAAAGGAAATTGGCATGAGATTGACCAAACTTAAATATATGTGTGTGATGTGTACTGTTGTGGGTTTGATTTTAAAAAAAGTAGAAGGTATGCGGCGTAATGTGAGGAGATGACATGAGTGGTGCAATACAAATATAAGGTTTTTGCATCTTTAACTTAAGCAAGTGATAACGGAAAAAGAGTGACGAGAGTAGTTAGGCGAGGCCAGACAAAAAAAAAGGGAGAAATTTTAGCTCTATAGATACTATATATATACTATATATATATAGATATAGATAGACAGATGGGTGGTCTTATTTTAGTACGAGGAGATCATAATCTCTATGCTTTCTACGCCAAAACACATCCAAAAATCATTTTAGAAAGTAATCGGTTCGGACTCGAACAGGGAAAAAACAGTCTGGTCAGGTCCCAAACCGGCTGGGCCAGGCTATTAGGGCCGTTGCGGTGCAGCACATGAGAACCGGCATGGCCGATTGAGAAATCGGCCAGACCAGTTTGGCGCCGTCTTTTTCCTTATTTTTCCTCCAGATTTCAAATGCGACGATCCTAAATATTATTTGTTATTGTTTTACTGCCTAGAACATTACTACAAAGCCCTCTAGCCACTTTTGGTCCTCAACACAAAGCACCCGTGCTCATCATCAAAATTTACCACCTCTTCTGGATCTGTATAAACCCACGGTAAAAATGATACTTTCCCAGTGTAAGAGTACAAACATTGACCACGAAAACAGTACGTTTATACACATAAGGATTTTAAGAATAATTGTCATCGTGTTTTCCCTTCCAGAAGCTACGTACAGTTATCCATCGAAATCCAAATTGGCAAACTTAATCTCAGGATAGTAGCTGGCCACCACTGGCTTCCCATCAAATTTCCTTCCATGCAAGGACATCTTTGCTCTGGTGGCACTGTAGACGTCTGCATATTCCAAGAACACCTGCAACAGAAAAAACTTGCATCAGAAATCATTTGCCATCACACAAAGAAATCTGCAAAATTCAAACATTAGAAGTCAGTGCAACACGAGGCTCACCTTTCCGACTCCAGTGACCGGGTGTCCGCTGGGGTCAGGACGTGCTATCACAACTTTCACCAGATTACCTGATCAAAAGGTAATTTTTCTTGTGATTAGTGCATAAACATAACAAAGTTGCATGCAAGAATTCCTAGGAAATTTATGTAAATAGCAGATAAATAAAATACAAGCAGAAGTTCGATGTAGGACGGAAACCGAAATGAAGAGCCGAAAAAGGGTATAAATGATATACCATATCTGCATGCTTCTTGCCTCATGTCGTCCTTGATGTCCTCATACGCTTCATCATCTTTCAATTCATCTGCACTGACCACCTGGACGAGGCAAACCACCTTTGTAGGGGCCGCTCCAACTGGATTGGCAAGTTTCTGTACACAAAGCACGCACATATTTCTGTGTCAGAACACAACAACGGCACATCGAAAATGTAAATGGCACGCTAGAGAGTAAACTATAAAGGTGTCTAGTATGGCAATCAACTAGCTGGTCTATATATACCTGCATTTGCACCTGTCGCTGGGCCTTCAATAGGATACTTAGCTGTTCTGGTCTGGGCTGAGATGCACTCTCGTTTGCTCGTCTGACAGTAAGGGTTTTGTCTTCCATCTTAGTACCATTTAGTGCAGCGCAAGCAATGTCAGTGACAGTGGTGTTCAAGTAAACACAGAATGCATAGCCCTTTGAGTTGCCAGTTTCCCCCTATCTTTTCACAAGATCAAACCCTCGAAGAGGCCCAAAGGATTCAAGCAACTCCCGGACTTGAGCTTCAGAGTAGAAATAGGGAAGGCCACCCACAAAAATACGGTCAGGATCTTCTAACCCTCCTCCGTCTGATCCTGCTGTTAGTCCAACTGCAGCAAGATTCAGTTTTCGGCTTGGCTGGCTCAGGCCCAAGCCTGCTGCCAGGGAAAGGTTGTAGTCTGTTGGCCTTCTAACCTTCACTGGCACCCCTTCAAACAAAATGCCATCCAGAGCCATTGCATTGCTTGCTTCCTCAGCCAGTCTGAATTCCACTAAAGCAAATCTTTGTTCATGGTTCATGCAGACGCTACAGACAGCATCACCGGGACCAGCAGTGTTTCCTCCAATAACAGCCATGACTTGATTAAAGAATACTCCAATTGTCTGCAGAAAGGAATCCAATTTAGCCAACAGTTGCAGATTATTCGGAACAGTGTTTGAGTTTGTTTACTTAGGCAGTATATGCATAGTTGTTTTTCCCCTGAGGTTAAAAAGAAAGTACGGACCTGTTCGTTAGCAGAGGGAGGAAGGCCACCAACGTAAACACGCCGAGCGAACAGAGTAGCCTGAGGTAAAAATTAATGTTCGCACAATATTTATATCAATACGTGAAGATTGCAGGCACAGAGCAAATAATAATCAACAAAAAAAGAAGTCATACCTCTTGTGTCATCAGTTGAGTCGTAGTGTGTGGCTGGAAGACAAGGGAACTGAAATTGAACTGATGCACACAAATGAATATGGTTAGCAAGCAACAAACTAAACTTTTAAGTCTGCATGCATACGGAAAAAGATCCTGTAAAGGCAAATTAAAGATAAGAGTCCTTTAAAAATTAAAGACTGCAGCGTAAACTATATTTGCAGGTTAGAAATATTAGAATGTTTATTATGAAATAAAGTTTGTGGTAGTTACTAACATTTGCTGACACTAGACTATTACAACAACAACAACAAAAAACCTGTTGAGGAATACCTTGTGGCTCCATGAAAGAGGAATTGAACTAATTCAAAGAAAACAAAAGAATAAGGTTAGAAAGCAGTATTTGCAGGATAAAAATATTTGACTGGTGTATAAATTATTTTATAGCTTTTTTTTTGCGAGGAGACTAATTTTATAGCTAATCTACAATAACTAATTGTTTGGACTAATTAAACTTTAAACAATAGCGCAACTCGCACCTGTTGAGTCGTCCCTTGCGGCTGGATGTGGAGGCGATTGAACTGGTTGCAACAAATAGATTAATTAATATGGTTCAATTAAATCTGAGCAAGTAATGCAGTCCACACACACACACAAAAAAATCAGTACACATTTACTTGAACCCTTAACTAATTTGTTGAATTCACAGTTGTAGCCATCACCTGTACATGAAACCCTACAAGAAGGTTCACAACTTTGAACATTCTGTGCATTAAAAAAACGAGGTTGATTTCGATCGCACTAAATCCGAGTTGGCAGTACATTATTGTTGTTGTTGTTGTTGTTTTTGCCCTATGAAGCTTCGATTTAGTGGCAGTAGCGCGAGTTCATTAGCCGGAACAATGGTCGACTGCCCGGCATCATGAGAAGGAAGAGAAACGAGGGGGGCGGGCGCTTGGGGATTGATCGACGCACCACACGGCGGGCGCGCTCGACGCGGCAGACTGCATCCGCATCGCCACCACCCATCCGCCCGCCCGCGCACTTCATGGCTTTCTTCGTTCCTTGGGGTTGGATTGGAGGAGGGATTCGGGGATTCGGTCGTCGCGATCGCTTCTGTTCGTTTTATTAGATCTTGGGACGACTCGACTGCTTTGAAAGGAATCATAGCCGACGATCCCGATGATCCGAATTCATTGAGCAGGCCGGCCCTTTAATTTGTCTCGTCCGAGCCCAACCCGATTAGGCCCCTGCTCAGATGCAAATTTCGGCCCATAACAAAATCGATCAGCAGCAGCAGCAGAGAGTCCTCATTGGATCCTTCAAGTGAATTGCTAAGTAGTAAATAGTAAATAGTTATATTATTATTGTACCATTTACATATAGGCTAAAAGTTCTTCCATCTATGAGGTATGTTATAAAGAAAGCCTCATTTGACTTTATTATGCACTTTCTCAAAATCCATTTTAAAGATCAAACCATACAGATTTTTCATAGCCTACTTCGTTAAATGGTCGTTTAGCCTGTTGGCACACTGTTTAAACGTTGCACGGTGGTATGACGTTTCCTTTCAATCGGTCATTTATTCTATTTAAACCGCCATTTAATTTATCCACTTAAGTGAGCATTTAGCCCGAATAATGGTTATGCACACATATATAGACAAACACAACACCAAATCGCAGTGGATCTTGTTTCACCAAATTTTGCCAGCTGAGGCACATGTGTTTCATCTTGTTTTGTTTGCATGTGGGGCTAGAATACATGACCATTGCTTAGAATGGACCATAGTAAGATAAAGAATCTTCGCCAACCATTATGTTAAACATAGTCCAATTGACCACTTCGAGTGAATAGGATAGACGTCATTCACATGGCCGGTCGGTCTGTCTATGCTATATAAGAGGAGGTTCCACATGGCTGCGTGACTATGCTTCTTTCTGCCTGGCTGTAAGCTTTTCCTTTCTCACCATTAGTTTGTGTTTCCGCTATCATATTTGTCCTGATGTGTTTCTAGCTCTTTTTTCACTCTTTGTTTATTCTTTCCCAGCGCAGAACTTTCTGCAGCAAATACACGCTGCTGGGGGGTGGCAGATTGTTCCATGGAACCAGCTGCAGGATGGGTGCCTTGCGACATTCAGCTGACCTATTGGAGCATGCAGCCAGCTGAGTTTCAGCTAGCACATTGGAGCATGGCAATGGAACCAGAAGTATGTGCATGTGCTGCTAGCCTCCCAGTGGTAGTGGAGTCGGCCGGTACTGAGATATACGGTAGTTGCCTCCAAACATATGTTCCTACTAGCTCTAGCAGAGGACAGCTGGTTGAGTGTGCATCAGCCACACAAAATGATCGGATCGAGATCGAGAAAGCAGCACAAGAGGTTCAGTCCGATTTCCACAACATGGAAACGAACATCTACAGCAATCCGATCCATGTGTTCGATAAAGCCGCGCGTGAGTTCAAGTTCGACGTGGACATGATGAAGATGAAGATGCACAGGTACCCAGCAAGAATTCGATCTCTCGGTGAACTGTACACCGTTCCGATGACGTTGTCGATCGGCCCATACCACCACGGCTGAGACCACCTGAAGGCGGCGGAGACGGTGAAGCACGTGGCTGCATACCACTGCATCATGGAGTCAGGCCGCTCAGCCGAGGAGGTCTATGGGGCGGTCGTCGCCGTCGCGGGCTACGCCCGGAGCATCTATGACAGGAACGTGGTGGACAGCATCGGCGACGACGTGTTCCTGCCCATGATGTTCTACGACGCTTGCTTCCTGGTGCAGTACATGCTCACGTGCACCGACGCCGGCCTTGCCCACATGGACCCGGCGCTGCGCAGCTTCTTCGAGGCCAACGACAACGACGTCTATCACGACATCATGCAGCTCGAGAACCAGCTCCCATGGCTGGTGGTCAGGGCCGTCATGGCGTTCAGGCCCGTGCCATTGAAGGAGTTCGTCGCTTCCCTGCGAGGCTGTCTGCAGGACCGCAAGGACCGGCACGAGAAGCCGTTCGTCATGGACGACGCCTTTTAGCCGCAGCACCTCCTCGGCCTCCTCCGGTACTACATCGTCGGAAGAAGCGACGTCAAGCTGCCTACACTACCGGAGACCGAGTCGATGTCCTTCTCCGTGAGCGCCATCGAGCTCGCCGAGATCAGCATCACGCTGACGGCCAGCAAGACGACCGAGCTTGTCTACATGGGCGTCAACAAGAAAGGGAACCTCTTCGCCGAGCTCTCCCTGTCGCCACTGTCCCTGGACGACACGCGCGCCAGCGTGCTGCTCAACATGGCGGCCCTTGAGCTTGTTACATAATCTACTGCTGCCTTGTGTGAACACAGCAAGGGAAGGCTGCGTCGAAAAGGCACTCTGGTGTGATACTGTAGACGCTACATGTGCTGGCGCCGCACGGCTCACCTGCAGCATCTGTAGCCACATGCAGAGGCCGGCACAGAGTCAGCCCTGCTGTGTTATCTTGTCACTGTTGCAGCATGGCAGCTGTATTAGGACTAGATAGATAGAGTTGTATAATTAGACTACCACGGCAACTCAGTAAAAAGAGTTCAGATTTGCCATCTACCATAAAGGGTTTCGGTCAACACTGGTGTCTTGTATTGTGTGTATGCTCTATTCTCCCTTTTTCTTCTAGCTCTAGTCATAGTGTGTGGGGACGGACAATGCTTGTTCGTGGTCGGCACGGCTAGTGGGTGCTCGGCAACACTAGCGGGTGCTCGGCAAGACTGGTGAGTGATTCACTCACCGAGCCGGTGATCCTGTGGGCCAACAAGTGGTATCAGAGCCGTACAAGCGCTATCACCGGACTAACCGCTGGCGATAACGAACGGTTCGGAGATGGGCAACAGCAGTGGCACTGCTGTTGCTGCCCAGCCACGACCGGAGGTCGTTGTTCGCACGGTGCGGGAGGTCAGCGGCACCAGTTGACCGACGCTGACTCGCACCAACTTGGAGAGTGGTCGGTGACCATGAAGGTCAAACTCGGAGCCCGATGGTTCTGAAATGTTGTTGACAAGGGCACCAACAATAAAGAAGATGATATGTCAGCGTTGGAGGTTATCCTCGCTACTATACCGACGGAGTACAGGGAGCCGTTGGGGGCGAAGAGCTCGGCTAAGGAGGCGTGGGAGGCTATTGCGGTGATGCGCGTCGGTTCCGTCCGCGCAAAGAAGGTGACGGCCCAGCTTCTGAAGCAGGAGTACGCCAACATCAAGTTTAAGGACGGTAAAACGGTGGAGAACTTCTCCCTCCACCTGCAGACGCTCATCAGCAAGCTGAAGAGCCATGGCGCCACCATCGACGAAGAGAAGGCGGTCTCCAAGTACCTCCACTCCGTGCCGGCAAAGTACATCCAGATCGCTCTCTCTATAGAGACGATGCTGGACTTGTCTACCCTTACCATTGAGGATGTGACAGGCCGCCTGCGGGCGGTGGATGAGTGCCTGGAGCAGGCGACAGCAACGAAGGATAGCGGCAAACTGCTGCTGACGGAAGAGGAGTGGGCTGCTCGGAGAAACTTTGGGAAGGCAGCCGCCTCCAGCCACGGTGGCGATGGCAACCGCCGTGGTAGGGCTTCTTCGGAGAAGAAGCAGGTCGACCCCAACGCCTGTCGGCGCTGCGGGAAGATGGGCCATTGGGCACAGGAGTGCCCAAACCGCAAGCAGGAGAAGAAGGCTCAGGCTCATCTTGCGCAAGCCGATGATGAGGACGAGGCCACTATCCTGATAACGACGTTCTGTGCACTGCATGACATCGAGGCCGAGGAGAGGGAAGAGGCGACGACGGTGGAAGGACCTAGGAATGCCGTGAAGACTGTCAACCTCAACGAACCACACGCCCAAGTCCACCTCGGACATGAGAGCGCCAACCCAGAGCAGCGGTGGTATCTGGACTCCAGTGCCAGCAATGACATGACGGGCTCCAAGGAAGCCTTCTCCGAGCTCGACGACGATGTTACCGGTACGGTGAAGTTTGATGACGGCTCAAGCGTGGCTATCTAAGGGCGCGGCACCATCATCTTCAGGTGATAGAATGGGGAGCACCACGCGCTAACGGATGTATATTACATCCCGCAGCTGCGTTCCAGCATCATCAGCATTGGTCAGTTGGATGAGCGCCGTAGCGAGGTACTGATCAAGGACGGAGTCCTTAGGATCAGAGACTGGGAGCAGCGACTTCTCGCCAAGGTGAAGAGGTCCCTGGACCGGTTGTACCTGCTCGACCTGAAGGTAGAGCAGCGGGTGTGCCTGGCGGCAAGGCACTCCGAGAAACCGTGGATGTGGCATGCCCAGTTCGGACATCTCAGCTTTGACGCACTTGGTCGGCTGGAGAAGATGGTCCGAGGGCTACCGCACATCAAGCACGGAGGCGAGCTATGTGATAGCCGCCTGGCCGGGAAGCAGAGGAGGCTACCATTCCTAAAGGCGGCCAAGTATCGCATGAAGGATGCTCTCGAGCTCATCCACGGCGACCTCTGCGGGCCGATCACGCCTGCTACAAACGGTGATCGGCGGTACTTCCTCCTGCTCGTGGATGATTGCAGTCACTTTGTGTGGCTACAACTCCTGACGAACAAGGATGAAGCGGCGATGGTGATCAAGAAGTTCAAGATGCGCGCGGAGGCCAAGAGCGGCAAGAAGCTTCGCACGCTAAGGACTGATCGCGGTGGCGAATTCACTTCGGTGGAGTTCGCTGCGTACTGCGCGGAACAGGGTGTGGTTCGACACCACACCACACCGTATTCGCCACAACAGAATGTCGTGGTGGAGCGACGGAACCAAATGGTGGTCGACATGGCTTGATCCATGATGAAGGCCAAGGGTATGCCGGCAAGGTTCTGGGGTGAGGCGGTGACCACTGCGGTGTTCATCCTCAACCGCGCTCCCACCAAGGCCCTGATGGGTCAGACACCGTTCAAGGCTTAGTATGGGCGAAAGCCGAGCATGTTCTTCCTCTGGACATTCGGCTGCATCGGCCACGTCAGGAAGACGAAGCCGAACCTCACCAAGCTGGAGGACAGGAGCACAC